ACTCCAATAGCTTAAGAGTTCTTGGAAACTGAACATTACATATTTTGGGCCTTTACCCACCAAAGTTTAAAAAAAGTGAAATTCACATGGAAATGTGTTTTCATATGAACATTAAGGTGTTTAGCCAAGAAACAAAATGTGAGGCAGCGTGGTGGAATCAGGCTCTTGTCAAAATAATCAAAGTGAAGAAACTTGCATTTTTCCGCAGGTTTGTGAATTTTTATCAAATTTTTGTTTTTTGGCTCAACATCTTTCATGCCCATTAAAGAACTAATTTCTGTGTGGATATTTCTGAAAAACGTCGATTAAAGGCACTAAAAATGTAAATTTTCAGTTACCACGGACTCTTAAGGTAAGGACATAACGAATCTTTGGCGGCCATTTCTCACTAATTTTACCTCTGAAAACAGGTGACTCCCACCCCCTTCATTCGGAAATATCTCGACTTGTATTCCAGATAAACGGATATTTTTTTCATTCAAATAAAGACAAGTGAACAAGCTTTAAGATGATACCAATACCTCTACATCAAAATTGACGAGAGCCTGATTCCACCGCGCTGCCTCACAAATTTCGATAAAAATAGCCTAACCAGAGGGAAAATGGCCTTTTTTTTCGATTTTATTATTTTGACGAGCGCCTGATTTCACCACGACGCCTCACATATTGTTTCCGATCGCGAAAGCGCAAAAACGGAGGTGGTGTTCTCTTTCAGAATGGCTGATCTCGCGTGTAATTGTACATTGTTGAGGGTTATTGATTAGTTGTGCAAATCATGCTGCTATCGTTACATCCATTAATTCCTTCTTGGGATCCGATCTAGTTTTACCCCCCTCTCTCACCCTTCTTTCCTTCCTTCCACCTCAAACGGTCAAGAATATCTTAACCTTTCACCTCGATTGTCAAGCACTTTATCATTATTAATTAAATGATTATGTTAATTAAAACTCTCATGCGTACTTCTTAAATTTCTTGTTCTGAGAGCAGAGCTTAAATGGTTCAATAAATCGTTTTATATCTCAACAGATTTTTTACCACCAGAACATGACATCACGTCCGGCTGTCCTGGATAAACTGCGGACGTCCGGTTTCTGTGGAGTTCCGAGCTGTCTCCTGACAGTGCACGGTGGATAAAGAGTTACTCACAACCCCCCTCTCATCCCACCCTCTCTCCCCCAACACCCCGCCCCCACCCCTCCAACTCCCCACCTGCCCAACTCCCCACCTTCTCCCCCTCCCGCCCAACCCCTCCAA